GAGAAAGAGGGGGGGGGGGCAATCTGCCACAGGTAAAAAGAGAGAACAAAAATGAATCTTTTAGTAGTATATTCTTGTTGTTTATTTTCAAGATGACCACTGTATGTTCTGATAGCGAATTGAGTTGGCAGACATAAACCAGAGGGTCTATGTAAAGGTCACACTGTATCTCAGTCTTAAAATATGAAAGATGAATTTCATTGTGATTAATACAGAGGTTGGAGAATAGGACGTATCAAGGGAAGAGCATTAAACCGAGGGTGAGTGCGTGTGTCAGTGTTTGAATGCATACAGAAATGAAACGACCAAGACTGCGAATGGATGGAAATCAATTAACAAAGAACAGTATTCAGAAATAAAGACATGTGCGAATGTAAGTCTTACCAAACCTAGCCGTGACGATGCCTATTAACATGACCCAGACAGAGATTCGAGAACCGTCCGGCTGGGAGCAAGCTGTCAAGTTGTTCAGAGAGTCCACACCTGTTACGTTGAGACCTGTGGTCGTGAGTTGAGGGCTTGGACTAGAGGATATATTAGCTGTCCCTGCCAAAGGGAAACTGATTGTTATTGATTGTAATTGGTCGTAACTGAGTGTACTTGATTGTGATTAATTGTAATTAATTGTAATTGATTTTTCATTGATAGTAATTGACTGTATTATGTTGGCCTCATTAGTTGTAATTGGTTGTAATTGATAGCAATTTATTGATCGTAATTGATTGTGATTGGTTTTATATTTGATTTTATTTGTTTATAATTGGTAGTAACGACTGTAATTAATTAGTTTAGTCTTAATAAGAGCTTTACGGCACTTGCAACACAATAGGGTCATATAAGTGCCGAAGATTAGAGGCGTTACACGAGAATAACAAACACAAAAAAGAAGAAGAGAGGAGGACTATAGATGTTTGGTAGGAAAGAAGAAGCAAACTACACCAGAGCACCTGCCAACCAACAGCATACAAGGCTACAGATTATCTATAACGACCTACAAGTTTAATAAATTGAATAGGAAATATGCAGCAGGACAGAAAGAGGAGGGGCACTTCTGAAGTGTGTACATAGAAATATTAGAGTGGAAACTACCACAATCATTAACTTTTTTACCACTGCAAAAATTAAAAAAACTAACAACAACATAGCAATACCATCTCTAAAAAAACAATAACAACAATAATAATAAACAAAACAGACAAACAAAATACGGCGCCCATATGACCTTCTGCAGTTGCGAGCGCCATAAAAACTCTACTACAACTAAAACCTTTTAAAAAACCCAAATATGTTAGTGTGTTAGCACATGCTCTTCACCCCTTTTCACCTTTTTACCAGCACGTTTTCAGCCGTGTATCTTATCCATATGGTGTACTACTTATAATGAAGAGACATGTGATTTTTTGGATAAAAGTCTTATCTTGCTATAACCGAGAAGATCGCTAAAAGAACATGTGCCCACTGGTCAAATAAGCCTGATCTGCATGATCTGATAGTATCGTGCTATGGTGCTGGCTATTGCACACTGTGTCACATAGGCCTCTGCTTTGCTTCACTTAATTCGACCCGAAGTCCATACAGATGTATCGTTGTATTAAAGCCACAAAACAAAATTTCCGACCCCTTGATTGGCTGTTTGCTGCGATTTTCATCCGAAGTTCCTATCTGATTTTGAAAGATTTGATTAAACTGTCAAAATGGTAGCTTTTTTCGTCCGCCTTCAAATGCGTCAGATCCTAGCAAACAGGGATTTGACAAAACTCTCTGTAGTGCTCCCTGAGTATGGCGGGGCATTCTGGAAGAGGGAATGTTAAAAAAGTCTTTTGATCCTGATCTAGTCCTTAATTTCAAGATAACCTATATTCTTTTAAAGATGTTGAGATAGCCCTTTCCTCACGGACCCAAACTAAACTTTCCCACACTCAGAGTTCTTACAACTACAGTCTTTTTCTACCTTTCTACAACGTTCAAATCGTTACCAAGTAAGCAGGAACTGTTGGTGTAGAAGGGGCTTCCAGGTAGCCAAACGGATATGACACACAGAGATAAGCAGCTCACCTGGAACAGTTAAAAAATAATTTCAATGCATCGCCCGCGACTGTTTCAGATCCATGTTTGGATTACAAAGTGGGCCTGGCTGTGTTGAGGTTAAAGGATGGTACTTGTGTGTTGTTTAAAATCAAATTATTTCAAAAGACTCAACTTTGTTAGGCTGGTCGTGTCGTAAGAAGGACTGATTTCAGAATCTGAAAGGCAGTGTTCTATTCTGAGCTGTCCTCGGAGAAGAGTCAGATTGCTGCACCCAAAATACTGCTCAAATCGACTAACGAAAACGTAAACGGAACGTAAACTCTGCCTAAAGTGACGCTTGACATACATAGACAATGGATACAAAACGTGACAATTTTTCTAAAAACACAGATAAGAAAACATACGCAGAAATTTGCACGAACCCTCCAATCAAGAACAAAATTAAGGTAAGAAAACGTACACAGGACGTAACAACGCTCCCAGTAGATAACTAGTGGTATGACAAATGCACATAGAACGTACAGATTGTGACCTACAGATAAGGAAACGTACCCTAAACGTAGCACTTTTTTCACAATGCGCAACCTGAGATAAGAAAACGTACACAAAACGTTCGCGCACGGCATCTCACCTGCAGGCCTAAGGCTAAAACGCCTGTCCTTGGCAGTCCCAGACAGCGGACGATGTAGGGATAAGCAAAGGTCGCCAAAATCCCAAACACGGCCCCGACCCCTACCATTATCCCCAACACAGAGCCACTCAGCCCTTGCGTTGTGGCATAGCCTGTAGAAAAAGATACGCACAGAAGATTTAAAGATACTTTTCTTTAAATATTATTACAATCAGTTCCGTCAACGATGTAAAGTTCTCACAACAAATTAAGAAAACAAAAGCTCTCCTGGCCACCCCATCATTTTTACTCAATTTATTGCTTTGTTTCTATGATAAGCAAGCAGTGTTGCAGCCTGCTGGACGCATGTTGTTATAATTCTCATACCACCGTTTGAGGCGGCGCAGCTTTAGCTTATTAAAAAATGACCTTATAGATCCAGTCTCAAACATACACACATATATACATGCTCAATATAATAATATGTGTGTGTGTTTGTGTGTACTTACGTACGTACGTACGTGCGTGCGTGCGTGTGTGCTTGCGTATGTATGTATGTATGTATGTATGTATGTATGTATGTATGTATGTATGTATGTATGCATGTGTCTTGAAATGTAGTAAACATTCAGAAACAAAGAAATGTATCTAAAATTTCCCCAAGCAACGTTATTTCGGACATTTACCGCGATACTGTTTGTTTTTTTGTGCGGGCACCAAAAAATGAGCCTTCAGAGGGGATCTTTGCCGCTGCATACAGAAAACGTGAGTTCGATTCCCAAACAGGGATTTTTTGTCTAGTGTCTTCGAGTTTCGTTTGTGATTTTGTATTCTACTGAACCTAAGTTGGACTTGAAAGATACGGTAAGGGCACGCCGTTATCTCAATTGGTATCATAGTAGACTACGGAGCGGTTGACCTTTGTTCGAATCCTAGTCTGGTTGTTCTTGACCTCCGTTCATTTTGTGGAGTTTTCCAAGGGTCTGAACTCATTTAGTTCGATCTTATCGGAGACGGACGCCAAATTACCTCATCTTAAACTACCTACCAGTGTTGATAGGGGCGTTAAACCCACGCACTTAAATTACTTAGGTGAGGTAGGACAACCTCTTATTAAATAATCAAAACTGAGTCTAAGGAGGGGATATGGGTGGTTTCATAATTTTTTAATTTGGGGGGGGGGGTTGTGTGTGGGGGAGGGGGGGGTTGATATATTATACAAATCAAAATAAAAAAACAAAACAGCAAAAGACAGAACGTCTTACCAACGGTGATTCCGTCAAAACCCAGTACGGTGAGGTATAAACAGGCCAAGCCAAACCCCGCCCATTTGACCTCGTAGCTCATATAGGTCCTGAAACCACGGTACAAGACCAGGAAGCTGTCCAGCACGCGCCAGGGGGAACACTTGTTGTCATCAGCGCGTGGCGGTTGAGTATGCTCTGCGTCTCTCCTGTACTCCCTGTCCGGCTCCTTTTCAACCTGGTTGGGTTCAAGAAAAGGTTTTGTTCAGTTAAAAGGGCTCATTCCAGCCCGAAAAGATCAATAATATATCAATATTAATGCCAGCGAAAATGTTTTACCTTACTTGTTTATTAATCCATTCACACATTCTTAATATTTTAAAGTCGGGGGCGGGGAGTCTCGTGGTCTAGAGGTGCGGTGTGTGCCTCTGGTCTTATAGGTCCCGTGTTCGAAAGCTGCCAGCAACAAAAACAATTTCTTCCCAAAAATGGGTAGGTAAGATCTAACACCTAGCCTTCTCGGATAAGGGCTAAAATCTTTGAAGTTGTGCACGTTAAAGATCCCTTAGTGGTCTTAAAATCAGTGAACAGGCTTCGGTCTCCACCCTGACTAATTCAAAATTACTGTCAAAACTGAAAATAGTCTAGCCAGTACAATAACATAAAGAGTATCATCGAAACCGGAAGTTGGCTGCCTGGTGGCAAGGGGTCCTATGAAGTAAGAGAAACGATCACATACGTAAAAATCAGTTGCACTGCAAGTTGACGAACCAGTAGTAGAATACACATGAAGAAGAAGAAGAAGAAGAAGAAGAAGAAGAAGAAGAAGAAGAAGAAGAAGACCATCACGAACACATATCAAAAGAATAAGTTCAAATCTTCAGCTTTTGGTTTGTTTCCATGGCAACAATTGCATGACTGTTTCAGTTTTTTATGAGTTCTGTGGCTATTGTCATTTATTGCGTTATTATGTCTTATCCCTGTTCCTCACATTATCCGAAATATTAGGCTCTAGGCTACATGCTTATGTTAACTATATAGTGTAAAACTCGTTTATTCGTCTATTTGAGGGGTTAGAGGACGCCAGTCGTGTAAGTTCTGCATCTTTACTCTTCCGATCCTCGACGGTTTCTGTCTTTCGGTTTGGCGTTTGCCCTGTGCTTCATGACCATGATTGTTTACCTTTGTTTTTATTAACCTGCATGTTCATTGTCACCCATTTCAAATCAGGGAAGATAGTGGGAAATTAGGAGCTTAGTTTCAGTGCAAAGAAAGCCCACAGAGTATTGATTTGGAACAGTGTTCCTAGTAAAAAAGTTACACAGCGAAAATTGCCTAGAGTAAGTTACTTTTTTATTTTCAAATGAGAAATAAATTAGCCAAGTCCAATCTTTAACATCATTTACTAGTGATTTGCAGAATAAAAGAATTATCATTTGGTCATAAGAGAAGAAAAACTGTACCAAGAGGGCACTTCGGAGATAATTAGAGCTATAGTCTTGAGGATTAACATAATTATAGACACACCAATAAAAGACAATGAATGTCTTTCGAGCAAAATCCATCAAAAGCTACTGTGTGTCCCACGAGTAATACCATAAAACTGTCATTCTCATAACTTACTTAAGCCTCGTTCTTATCTGAATGTTACATACATATTCCATGACAACCCCCTTCCTCAACCATCACCCCATCCCTGTCTGAGTTCACTGTAGGGAGTGTAAACCTTAATGTTCATCAAAATAGCAAGGAATTAGGACATGATCTTTGGAGTCAGAAAAACAAAAAGGGCGGGTTTACCTCTTTATCTTGCAGTTTCTCAGTTGCCTCTCTGTTTTGGTCGTTATTCTTTTCTGTGAAGAGGGAATCGTTGAGTTGTATTTAAGTGACGTTGGTTTAATATCCATAAAAAAATCTCTAGCACTAGTAGAAAAAACCCATTGTCTCTACGTTCATGTTCAACAAAGTTTTACTTAGAAATACCAAGCTGAAAGCTATTAACGTGTCTTTTCTGTCACCTAACGTATATAACTAGGCAAACACGGGGAAGGTAGGAGTACGAATTTGCTATATATATATATATATATATATATACATTGATATATTATTATATCTATTCAGTTTCTGAATATTTGTTTTCTTCCACCATCGATTTTTTTTAGTGGAAGAGGTGCTATAACATCCACTGCCATTGTAAACGACCAAGACAAATTTCTTCCCGAGATATGAAAAAAGATTGTCATTGTCATTGTGTTCAACCAACTCTACTGCTTGAAGAATAATATATGTGAATCCTGGTAAACAACCTGCTATCATATTTTTTTTAGCTCGGATCTGTAAGAATGTGCAGCAAGATCAACAAATCGGGTCAATACGTCTCGCCTCCCCGTAATCAATACAATTCTGATCACTCAGGGAGCCGGTGACTCCAGTCCTGCTGATCAAAGACAACCCGAGCCGTGCGGGACACATCCTGGCTGAAAGTCCGCACACACGACAAAGTATACCTTCTCCGAATTGGAATCGAGCTCACCATATTTGTTTGCAAGTTCAAAACAAAAACAAACAAACCTGAGAATCTGGTGGCAATCTTTTTGCTCCTCAGAGCCGGCACAAAGCTGTACACTCGACGTATCAGCCAAAACTCTGCCCCTAGTGACGTCAGACTCCAGACAGCGATGAAACCAGCGCCGATCTTGAGCCCCGCGTACGTCATTATCTGTCCGGTGACGATTGGCGCCAAGATTTTCGTGAGCAGGTCAATTCGGCGAAAAGTTGACGTCATCACTGAGAAAAGTCACAATCTTCGTTTCCTAAGGCATTATCAAATTTTAAAGACCTTGACAGATAATGCCATTTTGTTGCAACAAGATAGGTGTTACCCCTATGGATATAGAAACATAAACTTTAAGTGTTTAACATGGAAGACTGAGCATGAAAAATGTAAGCTCTATTCATGAGAAATATTTTTCCGCCTATTTTCTGTTAAATACAGTTTTTAAAAATCATATTTAAACCACAAACACTGTCCTTAAAGAAAAAGTAAAGCAGATAAACGGGGCAGCGAAAGATAATGATTTGACACAATTCCATGTATCTAAAAAAAGCAAAAACAACCCCCAAAAAACAGTGGCAACAGAAGCAGCAGCAGCAGCAGCAGCAGCAACAATAACAACAACAACAACAACAACAACAACAACAACAAACAACAACAACAATAACAACTTCAAGAAAAACACCAACAAAGAGGAAGAAGAAAAAGACCTGCTAGGTGATCCTCATCCTTCTTGGAGATCTCCACAATCCAGTCCCTCTCCACCACGATGACTCGCGCCACCTTCATGAGGCGAGACGACACAGACAGCGATATGATGATAGCAAAGAAAAGATGACGGAGCCACGAGACCATAGTCCCAAGCTCTGATTGGAG